AAAAAAAAAAAAAAAAGAATAAGATAACAGGATGGACTTCCTTAAAAGACATAGAACTCAATAGTTAGAGCACAAGACACCAAGCATGTGCAAAGTTGAAGGAAAACCTTTCTATTTCTAGTTTTAATTTATGGCGATTTAGAGCCCTTCTTATACTTTAACCTTGATCATCATCTTCTTTACTATACTGGAACCATTACCCCTGCAAGCACTTGAAGTTCTAGACTTGTAGCTGTACTGTATTATCATACACTTAGAAAGCACGCAGTTCCTGTGGGCAGGACTTATTGTGGACTGGATTCCTTTCTCTTCATGACCTCATGAGCTCTACTTGGTATTTGACATAGTAGTTCTTCATGATACACCTAACAGAGAAATTTAATTCCTGCTCATTTCACACAGCTCCAGTGGGAGAAAAGGCATGCTTGTGTCCTCAGATGGAGATCGGGGTTCCTGGAGGGGGCTCTCCACTCCATTGGGACATTTAAGTGCGTGAATTTTTCATATGTCCTTACATGCATCTGTTACTTCTATTGCTCATAGAGACTGAATTGTGGTGCACTCTCCAAGACTGTTGTCCCCAGAAGGACTGGCTTAGGAAGTTCTGAGAAATAAAAAAAAGCAGTAGAATACTCAAGACCATAAAGTCTAGAAAGTGCAATATAAGAATCAAGTATTTTAGAATATACTCAGAGTATGCATAATCTTATACCGCGTCACCATTTTTAGGGATACTTTATTAGTTTTAGGTATGGCACTATATGAATATCTACACAATCTGGCAGGTAATCTTTATGAACTCATTTGATTTTATATGTCTTTGGTATATAGTAAAGAAAGTCTACATCAGCTTATATAAATACCATGAGAAATTTACCATCTCTCTGCAGCAGTGAGGCTAGGTATGACTTCATGGTCAGATGCCTGATTGTATAGAGTTTGTTCAAGCTGCTTGAAGAACACACTCTGAGGAACAAAAGTTTTGTGGAGACTCAGACAAGTTGTAGAGTAGTATGTGTAGGCTGAACCAACGTGAGTTCTGAGATTTGGAACTCATGTGGGATGAAGCCTGCACAAGGTAAATTGTCTCACGTGAGGAAAGTAGAATAGTACTGATTTTATCCACAACACTTCTCCCAGCAAATTTGTACTGCTGTCTCCTACGCCTACACCAAGGTCTTCAGCTCTAAAGACAGGAACTATGTCTCTAATAATTCCATTGCATTCTGATACTATCTCAACTTAAGGTCTAAATTCACAGGTATGCTTCTGAAGTTCCATTAGAACTCTTTTTTTTTTAGTATTTAGGACAGGGCATACAGAGTGTACAGGGTCTCACTGCATAGATCAGACTCATAATGATCCTCTTGTTTACAGCCTCCCAAGTGCTGGGATTACAGGCACATGCTTGCAGTCTCAGCATGCCCCGGGGGAAGAGCCAGCATGGCGGGCCTGGGGATCAAGGATCAAACTCCTAAGCAGATGCTCCACATCTTTTAGATATTAATGCTAGTCAAACTTGCATTCCATTCTAACCTCCTTTTACCCAGTGTGGCCAAGTCTACTCTCCTGTTCTTTTGTTCTCATTTCTGGAATGAGTCCTAGGACTCAGGACAATAGTTAATTTATGAGTACAGTGGGAGAAATGATTGAAAGTTAAATATTCTATGTGGAGATCTCAAAATCTTTATGCATCTCAAGTATTAACCATCTCTAAAGTTTTGATTAAAATGTATTTTAGGAATTTTTGAAGAAGACTTGGTTTGTACAAATTTACTTAGCCCTTTATCTGTGATTATCTCATTGTTAATTCTCTTTTCCTTTTTCACAGATCCAGTGGGAAGACTAAATATTTCAGCCCA